CCCCTTTCTTTTTGTTTCTCTGTGCAAAATGGATAAAGAGCAGTCTCGCTCGAAATCTTTCTGGATGCAGCTAAAGCGTGCAAAAATAATCATCTTAAATAAAATAAAGCAATCAATCTGAAAAAAACTCAATAAATAAATAAATAACAAGGTGATTTGAATAGAAGAGTCTCTTTTCAAAATGGGATATCACTTTGATATCGATCATTTTTACGCTCAAATATGTATACTGTATATACAACTGTACTCTGGGTTGACCTGCCCCAGGAAAGATCATTTGTAAAACCGTGCATACATTTTTTTTAATAAGAAATGAAACTTGTGAATAAAGTCTAAACATGAATCCGAGTTTATCAATTTGTTCCTTCACTTCTGAAAAGAAACTCTTCGTAGAATTTAGAGGAAACATAAAAGCTTCAAGCGCCGTCACATCAGTGTTCTGGAAAACTTGCTCAGCAGCGGCCATCTTTAAATGACTCCTAGGTATATTTTGGTTTAACACAGACAAACCCTGGCTATTTTCCTCATGGCACATTTTCCCAATGGTCTGTTTTTCCAATGGAGCATTTACAAAATCCTATTTCTATTTCTAAAAAATGCGTCTCTATTTTTGGGATTCTGGGCTCTTTTCAAATGGGTCTCCGGTCATCTCAACAGGACATTTTTTGAACAATTGGGGTTTGGAATAATGGGGCTTTGGAACAAAGTTATGGCACTCTGACTCTTGAGCATTTGTTGTTCATTCTCAGTTATCCAATGATAGTAACTATAACTTGAAAGATATTGTTAGTTTTGGTCTGAGCAAGATTAAGCTTGTAAAGTAATGGGAAAGTTGCTCCTTTTTAATCTGAAATAGCTCAATTGTTTCTGATATTTTGAAACATATAATACAAATAGTAGCTGCATAGGTTTGTGTTTCAAAGACAACGTTTTTCCACGACACTGGTGACTGATCTAATGCAAAATGATGAAGCTTTTCATAAATGTAAAATGTGCTGAGTTGATCACACTCCGGTCATGGCTGGTCGACACCTCAAAAAATCTTTAGCTAATTTAGCCTCGAGACTTTGGCTGAAGATCTTGTGTTTGCCGATCCAAACCCAAACCATACGGATAGATAATGATAGTGGGTGATTTGTCAAAAAAGTCGTTGTATAGTTCTTACAGTAGCATTAATCCACTGAGAGGAAAAACGTTATTTGTGGAATTAAAAAGCCTGACGTGTATTTTGTAATATATTCTTGCATGAATATATCTCTTTGTTCAGTTGGTAAAATGCAAAGACTGAAGGTTTGTTGCAGGCTTAAACTTATTTTGTATTATTGGCACCTTCGCCAAGCTTGTCTCAAACCAAAAGTCTGGTCCTTTTAACTACATTTAACATTGTTTACCCCACTTTGAAGTGAAAAAGTGAAATCAACCTGAGGTGTTATGATATGAACGTCTGTCATAAATCAATTAACATTTTTCTTTAGCAAAGCCTGATCAATAATATATTTTTGATAAAGGTGCATAAGAATACATTAACTTGATAAAGGGTTTAATGGCATTTTACTCAACTTTTGACAACATAACGGACAATTGTATTTCTAGCCAAATCCAACGTCATAGATTAACTTTGACTACGAGTCAGTAAACTTTATTTATTTTCTCATGCAGTGTAATAATGCAGCTGGAATATGAGTTTTCTGTTCCACTTTGTTCGTAAAGTTTGAGAAGGACTTTTCGACAAATCACCCAGCGGTGTAAAAACGGACAGAAAAGAAGATGTTCACCACTAGGGCAAAACACATGTTGCAAGAGTCCAAGAGTGTGTAGAAAATCTCATTGTGCACTTGTATTCATTTTGTTTTGGTGTTATCTCAAAGGTTTTCAGAGGAAAAATAAATACACCTCTGGCCCCTTTTCAATGTGTCTTTGCCCAGGTGTGCTAAAGTGACAGCACATGTAAACTTAAAGTGCAAAAAACTCCCAACAAAAAACTGATGAAGTTGCTTTTCAGGCTTTAGTTTTTTTCCTGACCGCACCCTCTCCTCTCGTCTATTACAAAGTGGTAATTCAGCCACTCTCTCAAGGCTAGTGCCAATCTGAAATCCAAAGAGAGATACTGCTTTTATGGTCAACTTACTCTAAAAAATATAAAAAATAGTAATAATCGTACCGCTATTAAAAGACTGGTAACATCAACAAAGTTATACTTTTTACTACGAAAAAATGTGTTAAAATTCATTGTTTTCCCTCCTCTCGAGTCTCAGTCAGTCAGAAAGTTTCGAGAAACACCACCAGGAACACCGCCCCTCCTACGGCCAGGCATAATCTGAGAATATTGATCAACTGCGGGAATGCACAAACCCCCCCAGGCCAATAAATGATGGATACATCTGATATAGTTGTAGCTGAGGTCAAAGGTCAGTCATTGTTTTGCGAACCCTGGACTTTAGTTGAATGATCCAAGAAGGGATCTTGTGTCTTTTACTCCAACAAAGGCAGACAGGGTTTTCCTCTCCGTCTTTGCAGTTCGCTTTGAGAAACTCCCAAAATGAGCCCAGGAATCTCCACAGGGAACAGGAAATAACATTAAAAGGTAGTAAATATTCCTCTTTGTTCTTTTAAGCAACTCCTCCTAGCTCCTAGCTTCCCTTTTTGCCGCCTTCCTCAGCGTTTCTCAGCAATGGTACATTCAGTAAACAAAGGACGAACCCAAAACTAGGATTTTTTAGCTTTTTGCTTCGCGCTATGGCACGGTGTCCTGCTGTCTGTCCAACGACGGTAATTGTTCGCTTGGTTCGCTGTCCAGGGTGTCAATGGCAATAGTTTCTGTCTTGGCGGCGAGTGGGTGAAATATCTCCGATGTGGCTCGCGTCACACTGTCGTAGGATGGCGGGGAGGAGGTTGCGGAAATAGTCTCAGAGCACTCCATTGCTAATAAACTCGAGCCATAGTTTTCCCTCATCATGGCGGCAATCAACCCTTCTTTCTCAGGTGCGTCGTCCACCAACACCCCCTCGCTTCCTTCTTCTGCTTCACCCCCCGCGTGCCGAGGTGTCGTGATCTGGCGGTACAAGTAAGAGGCGGCCTTCAGCTGCCGCCGAATCAGGTGCCTCCGATAGCACCTTTGGATCACGGCGGCCGACACGTCTTCCTGTTTTCGCCTCAAAGTCGTTGTTATCGGCTCGTAGGAGATCTTGGATGGGTTTGCCATCATGAACTTCTCCTCCATCTGCTGCTTTAGGGCGTCCATCTCGCCTGACTCGCCCAGGACGCGCTTTGTGAATGCAAAGAGGATGTCCAGGCAGTGGATCTTATCCCCGCTGACCATGGGAAGGTCCATAGAGATTAGTTTGATCTTATTAGGCTTGCTGATGCGCAGAGGCTCTGACAGCGTGTCTGCAAAATCGGACAACTTGGCGTATTCGATGAACTGCGTGGCCTCGGTGTCGAACTTCTCCCAAACTTCGTAGAACATCTCAAAGTCGTCCTCGCTCAGCGGCTCCGTGCTCTCCTCCGTGGCCACGCTGAAGTTCTCCAGGATGATGGCGATGTACATGTTCACCACGATGAGGAAGGAGATGATGATGTAGGTGACGAAAAAGGTGATGCCCACCGATGGGTTGCCGCAGTTACCCTTCACGGTGGTGCCCGTGTGGGGGATGCTGGCGTTGCACTCCTCGGGCGAGTTGTTGAGGATGGGGCTCAGGAGGCTGTCCCACCCTGCGGAGGTGGTGATCTGGAACAAACAGATCATGCTGTTCCCAAATGTCTCGAAGTTGAACATGTCATCGATGCCTGACTGGCGCTTCACGTAGGCAAAGTTCGCCATGCCAAAAATGGCGTAGATGAACATAACAAGGAAGAGGAGGAGCCCGATGTTGAAGAGCGCGGGGAGGGACATCATGAGGGCGAACAATAACGTCCGGATGCCCTTAGCGCCTCGGATGAGCCGCAGAACACGTCCGATACGGGCCAACCGGATCACTCGGAACAGCGTTGGTGACACAAAGTACTTCTCAATGATGTCCGCGAGAACGATACCTGAAAAACAGAAAAAGGAATAAATAACTACATTTTATGTTTGGCATTCAGTTGGATGAATGAGACTTGGATTATACTGCATGAGTTGTGTAAGCGTGTGTAAACAGATGTTTGCATAAAGTTTTGCCTTCAATTCATCAAGACATTTTGTGATTCTTCAATAATGCAATAAAAGTTTTCTTCAAGAATTGAAGGTATCATGGAGAGTGTGATTAATATACAAATGATCTTTTAGGAGTAAAGTAGTCCTTAAATATGACTTTTAAAGGGTCTCTTGCAGGATGTGTATCTGCAGAGACGCGCAGGAGGAACTAAATGGGCTGAAATCGATTGGCTGAGGACTATTAGTTGATCTTCTTTTATTTGAAGACATTTCTGTGAGTTACATCATCTAAAAGCTCTCCGTTCAGATGTTTCCGTCTTTATGATTACAGCGTGAGTGATTGGATGTGGAGAAGTGAGCTGTGTCTGCGCACTAACAGCGAGTCAAACACCGTAATTCATCCGTCTCCTCCCTGTTACCCCGGAGTGATAAAACAGACCCCCCCATGCCTCCTTCTTTCCCCCGTCTCCCCTGCTGAGTTATGGGTGATGAGCGGGGGGGAGTCGAGAGGGAATCACCATCGTGCCGTACATCAGCCCCCCCCTCCTGACACCTCCCTCCCTCCCTCACACACACACTCTGGTTTAACAGGTCAATCACGTTTGATTTGTCCACAGGGAGCGCCCTCTGGCAGGTCTGATTGCTGCTGTTACCTTCACCTCCCTCGGGCCACACACACACACACACACACACACACACACACACACACACACACACACACACACACACACACACACACACACACACACACACACACACACACAGGCCTGTCACAACACTGATAGCTAAATGACCTGCTTAGGTAGGTGTGTGTATCATGTGTGTTTGAAGTGTGTGTGTGTTATGAGCACACAGGACCTTGGTGCAGGGAAACATCAAGGCCAGCGGATGGACACTTAGCTGCCAGATGATTCTGAGGCAGACTCACACACATGCACACACACACGCGCACACACAGGTGCGTTGTGCTCTATATATACAGTGGTGGAGGAAGTATTCAGATATTTTACTGTGAAATAAAAATAATAATATAATTACTAATTATTATTACTGTATAAGTGTACTGCAGTACAATTTTCTAAGCATAAATAGAGGGTCTATAGACAGAGGGTGACGTACACCGTATAAACTGTAAACCCCTCAAATGGGACATTTGTGATATTGGGGATACATTATTAACTTTAATTTGATCGATTAATACACATTTCTTAGGCTGTTTTACTATTATTTATGATATCATTTGTTATTTTACTATTTTACTATTATTTATGATATCATTTTGTTTTTTTACTATTATTACACTTATAATTGAATATTCTGTAGAATGTGTTTTCCAACCAGTTGTTCTGTTTTAGTCAGTGTACAAATGAAGGAAACAATAACTGTATTAACCATAATGTATTTGCTATGTTTCAAAGACATGAAAATATTTTGCCTTCATTATTGAATTTAAATATATAAAAATAAATACTTATTTCTTTATATGTCTCTGGTTGTTGATATGTATATATTTTCTGGTTATTTTAATTTGTACTTAATTTTATTATGCACTTTTGTGCAATGCATTGTCAACATGCTGCTGTAACAAAACAATTTCCCAGCTTGGATACAATAAAGTAATTCTAATCTAATGTTATGTAGAAAATATTTTCCCGTGCTAATAATACTCAATTTCCAGAGATTGTTGCCCCTGGATACTCAGTTTTTCCTCACCGACGATGGAGAGGATGACGACCACGAAGTCGAAGATGTTCCAGCCGACGGTGAAGAAGTAGCAGCGCAGCGCCACAATCTTGACGAAGCACTCGAAGGTGAAGACGATGATGAAGGCCAGGTTGATTTTGTTCAGGATGTATTCCATTTGCGGGGACTGCTCGTCCGTCTCCACCATCATGGTGATCATGTTGAAGAGGATCAGCACCATGATGATGATGTCGAAGGCCTGCTTCCCCGCCAGGTCGAAGAAGAAGCCCTGCACAGAGTTCTGCACAGAAAAACAGATTGTTTAGCTTTTTTTTTTAAATATATTTTTCTTATGCATCATTGGCTGAGATAAGCCTTTATTCTTAACTTCCTCTGATTAGGACGTGTCTTTCAAATAAAGACAGTAAACTGTGTGTGGGTACCGTAGGTCTGGGGATGGGTTTCTGTGGTTTTTTGGAGCCGAGTTTCTTCATGGCGTTATAATATTTCTTCTGCTCCTCCGTCATGAAGATGTCCTGTCCTCCTAAGTGAGGAGACAAACAGCAAAAACTGTTATTTTACAGAAACTATTTGCCTCAAAACATTGTCTTATCATCCCATGACGAATGAAAACCGATCTTAAATGACTAAAATGGTAAATCAAGAAACGTGCGCAAGTAAAGCCCTTTGTATTTCTACGATTATCAAGCCTGTGTGCTTGGGGGCTCTTCAAAATATAAGGCACTCTAAAAAGTGGCCTAAATTAGTGGCCATAGTTACTTCGAGAAAAACAAGTCTTTTGCGTGCATATGAAAAGTCTTAGCTATTACTTTTAACCTTGTGAAAAATGGGAGCAAAAACAAAAGTGATACGTTTATATTTTTGTGCACAGATGTATTTATATGTGGTCCATTGGTCTAGTCACAATAGTTCAGTCCGTTCTAAAATGTGATCAATATTTAAAAGAAATATGTATTTCATGTTCATATAAAAAGCATCAGTCCTTCGGTGAGAAAACATGTCTTTGTGTATTATTTATTATGCTTTTTTACGAGTATTATTTCAGTTTTCCGTCTGTGGTACTCATCTTTCGTTTCTGCTGGTTGAAGTTGTCAATGATGACTCCAATGAAGAGGTTGAGGGTGAAGAAGGAGCCGAAGATGATGAATATGACGAAGTAAAGGTACATGTACAGATTGATCTCTTTGATGGGCTGCTCCTCCACCTGACAGGGAATAACAGCATTTAATAAAAGGAATACAAACCCTTCTAAACATCATGTTAACCTTTAATAGTCATTTTTTTATGTATATATTTTTTCCATGTTTTTATTCCACTTAAAAATATACTTTATTGACTGTTTTGTAATTTTCTGAAATTATAGTCTTTTAATTATTATGAGTTTTTATTTACAGATAATTTTATATTAAAAACAGGCAAAAATTATCACATAACAGACACACGCAGTACGATGACATGAGAATACAACCTCACAATTGTACAAACAAATTCAAATGAAGAATCTTGGACTTACAGCTCGTGAATCCACCGCTGCATACATGATATCCATCCAGCCTTTGAAGGTTGCCTTGAGAACAAACACACAAAAAGAAAGAAATATAAATAGTGCCAGCAGTGGTGATTTGTCATTCAAAAAAGATAATACATATGAATTAGACACATTACAATTATACTGTTAATTGTGCATCTATCATATAAAGGTTTTTTATGGGAAAGAAGGATGAAAATAAAGGTCTCCACATTATTTTGTCCGTATAGTGTATGTTCAGTTCAGCCCTTTTGTATAATATTCCTGCAGTAACTTGCTACTGCAGGATTTTCTGCCTCTGTGTGTAAAATGTGAGTTTCTCTGCTCCTCCGTCACCAAGACGACGTGCTGCACACTTCCTGCACTTAAAGTGAGAAAGTGAATAAAAGCCATTCCCTCCTTTTAGCAGGAAATTAGCCGCTATGGAAACGGGGACGTTGTTTTTATCAATGAAGGATCAACACGCCCTTAAATGGACTTCCTTCCTCAGAGACACTTTATTCTGAGGGAGCGCGCGCTGTCCATCAATCACACCTGAAACCAGCCCATCGCCACGGTTACCACCTGTTGTTATTATGTTCAGTGGGATGTGAGAGAAAGGCTGTACGCTGTAAAAGATGACCAGCTCTTTTATTTTTTACGGACCTGGAGACTGTTTCAGGTAAATACTGACATATACTTCAGGACAGCTTTAAGATACTTGTACTCTCCTTAAGTATTTTCATGTTTTGCTACTTTATATTTCTACTCCACAGGATTTATTTCTGAAATTGCTTTTAAGTGAAATGTTGAATGCAGGACCTACACATAGACAACATGTTGCAGTGCACTACGAATATGTCTATGAATATCACCATATCAATGTGTAAGGGATTAAACAAAAAAAAGAATATTTAGTTTAAAACTTCATAATCACTGTAAGCAATGTTTCCTTCTGCACAATAATCAAAAGTTATGTAAGTGTTTTTTTGTTGAATTTATGCTTTCATTTAAAAAAGAAAAAAAGGTGAAAAGAAAACACCTTCATTCTTTTGAAGGATGTATACGCAACGGTTTAACCCATAGGTCTATGTATAGGTGTCTGTTTAAATGGTGCTTTGGCACTACTGTGTGTCATAATGGTCCTGTCAATAAAACTATTTGAATTTGAATTTCAGTCAAAAGTTGACTTTCAGTTGACAGCACTAATTGGATATTTCAGAGTCACCGATGTCTATAAATCCTGCATTTCTTTTCCTGTTTTCTCTTTATATTTATTTTTTGCAGCGTGGAGTTATTTCCAGATGCTGATGGAGGGGTTGCTCCCGCCAACAGTTGCCGAGCGACCAGCCAAACACGATGAGAGCGACATGTTGCCTTGGCAACTCTCAGGTTTATTTCTCCTTGATATCCTCATTTTTTAATTACATTTTCGTTGACATCAGCACTTTATTTATTGCAACATCACCAATGTCAAAAATATATATTTAAAATGATTTTCTTATACATTTACTTTTTTATTACTTCTGTCTTTAAATGTTAATAAATCCAAAAATAAATCCAGAAAAATTTTCTATTCTTCCTTATTCTTCCCAATGTTTTTATTTTTTAAATAAAATGATTAATTTGATTAGGTAATATCGTAAATCATTTGAATTTCAAGATAATACAGTAAAAATGTTACAGAACGGGCAGAACATTTCTTTTTTTAAACACAGCTATACAAACAAAAGAAAAACTCACGAAACTAAGAGATGGGGATGATTTATCGGTTTTCTTTTTCTTTAACAAATATTTGACACTTATTAATTTCTACATTCCCTTTTTACTTTTGTCCCTTTGTCCCTTGTTCAGATGTAAATGTTCTGACTTGTTCTCCCTAACTCCCCACATCTTATACTCTTTTCTCTTCACCATTGTTTATTTCTTTCCATTTGCAGTTAAAATAATGTTCCTCCATGTGTTCTTTCCTCCCTCCATCTCTCTGTTTCCCTCCCACTTGGCTGCAGTCGCTCTAAAAATAAAACCCTCTCAGACGCTGATTGATTGGAGGCTCTCAGGACGCCAAGGTGGGCGACAGAGAGAGGGGGAGAAAAGGAAGGAAAGGAAGCAAAGATGGAAAGAGGAGAAGTTGCATTGCCTTCTTTTAGTGGCTTTGTCCATGCTCTGCTTGATAACAGATGATGATGTGAGTCAAAGCAAGAAATGGACGAGGAGGGGAAGCGGGAAAAAAATGCTATAGGTTGGAAATACAGAAAGAAACTGAGAATCACAAAGGAAAATAAATTCAAGCAAAGCAATACGTCAGAGTATACATTTAAAGAGGATCAATAACGAAGGATCAAACATAAAAAAGTTAAGTGAACATCCATAAGTAGTACCAAATATTAAGTCAAAGTCCTGCATTCTCTTCTGCATGATACAAACAAAATCATATTTATTTATTTATTATTTATTACATTTGAAAGGTATTCCTTGGATTTAAAAAAAAGAGTAATTAATCATAATTGCTTTTTTCTATTATTATTATTATTAATAACTTTTTGCATATTGTATTTTTTTATATATATATAATGTGTTTATTTATTCATTGTGGCTATATCTCACAATATATTTTCAGTGAATGTATTTATATGTACATGCAAGTGTCTTTCAAACTGTATTGTATTTCATTTTACATGACTTCCCAACAAAAATACCGTAGGAAGAGAAAACTAATGGGTATGCTCTCTTTTATAAATACATGTTCAATTTAGAAACATAAAGTGGAATAAAAAATGTAACAAAGAAGGATGAGAGAAGCCAGAGGAAGTAACTGAAATCTAACACGACAAATGGAGACAAAGAGAAAGAGAGGGAGACAGACGTGGAAAAGTCAGAGCGATAAGAACAGGTGTGGGAGGGAAATTAAGATGAAGACAGCAAATGGATGGAAGGAAAGAAAAGAGGGTGAGGAGGGGAGGGTGGAGAAAAGTCAATCCTCCCACGGATACACTCAGATTTCATTTGAACTCGAGTTGTTGAGCAGGGTTTTCTCTGCTCTTTATTTCAAACAGACGCTTTTTAAATAATTCTGGACGACCGACTTATCTTCATCTGCAGCCAGTACTAACATTTTAAACTTAAAGTGGACCTATCATGCTATATTTGAATAATATATACCTATATAATGCATATTTATACTTTTTATTTTTCAAAATACCAAACAGATCATGCATTTTAGCCATTCCTCATTTCGCTCTATTTAACACTGTCTTTGCATCATGGGCTGATTCAGTGAGAACAGCACCATCTACAGGCCTGGCATATGTACTACAGCGTCTCCAGCGCTTTCGAACGGCAATGTCCGTGGCTGTCTCCTCCTGATTGGTGAAATTGGCCCAATAGCCTTAGCGCCACTTCTGTGACGTCACAGAAGTGTTCAAATCTGGATCAGTCTGTATCAGATCCATTGCAGCCCCTTTTTAAGAGATTTGGGTATGGAGGAAAATAGAGAGGGTTGTGTTTTCTGACACTTGGTGAGTTCCCTGGAACAGCGGGACACATATTCATGTATAAAAGACGTACAAAAGTGCATTTTGCATGATAGGTCACCTTTAAGTATAAGAAGTATAGTGTAGCAATACTAAGGCATGCCTTTATAAGTGTTATGTAAGTACATAATGGTTATTTTGCATTATTATTGTTATTTTTATTATTTTTATTATTGCTATAATTATTTCTTTTTTTGGGGAATACCAGAATATCAAATAATAGGTTGACCTCATTTTAATTACTTGTATAGTAATGGCTAACTTTATTGTATTCACTAATTATTTTTATTTTATATTAATGATCTCAATCTGAAAAATAACTAGTGCAGTCAAAACTACAATATTGACCTTTGAGATGTAGTCGAGTAGAAGTACAGTAATAGAAGATTGAAGACACAGGAAATGGAAATACTCTGGTAAAGTACAAGTGCTTCAGAACAGTACATGAGGTGTGTTCAAGAGAACAGTGTGTTCAGCAGTGTTCATGTATGTGTTTCAGTCTCAGCCCACGCTGCAAATTAAGCCCTGCAGATGATTAGAGTGCCTGAACGCAACTTAAAATGCAGCGAATGAAAATGAGTTTTCTATTTTCTCTGATTATATTATGTATTATTAGATATTTAGTCTAATTAAAATAACTCGATTTTGCAACAAAATCAAAATGAACAAATCTGGAGATACACGGTTTTTACTTTACAAGTACAATATCTAACTTTTACATATTGTTTAGTATAAAGTTAAAAGTAAAGTGGAAATACTCAACTCTCACCATTATGTTGTCATATATGCCCGCGGATAAGTAAAAACTTGCTTTGGAAAAATGAGGAAAAAGTCATATTAAATATAAATATGAAAATAATATTTACTTTTTTTCCCCAACACAGAAGAAAAATAGAAATCTTAAAATAAATAAAATGGTTGGACTGATTAAAAGCGAACGTTCTTACCAAAATCTTGCTGTTCTTTTGTTTCTTCATGGTTTACTGTTGTTAGGCGCTTTTTATAAAAGCTTCAGCGACATGATAAAGAGCTATAAATCACATTTCCTCACCACTTGCAGCAGCGCCAGGTACCCCGCCCCCACGTTGTCGAAGTTGACCTTGACCTTGGTCCAGTAGTAGAGCGAGGTGTCGTTGAGCGCCTCGCACTCGGACTTGTTGTTGATGAAGGCCGACTCGTAGATGTGACCCGTGCGGTTGACGCAGCGTCCGAACTTGCCGGCGAACAGGTTGACGCCCATGATGCTGAAGATGAGCCAGAAGATGAGGCAGACGAGCAGCACGTTCATGATGGAGGGGATCGCCCCGATCAGAGCGTTCACCACCACCTGCGGGCCAAAAACACCGTCACACACACAAGACACTGTCTCACACACACACTGACTATTTGAGATGATTGCACATAAAACACATCAAATTGTAAAGTGCAGCTGAAACAATATGTCCAATATGTAGCAAAACATTTTAAAGAAGTGATGTAGTAGGGCGGAGTCAGGTTGGAGAGTAATGTGTTTTCTGATTTATGTCTTTGAGGTTGACTTTATACAAGCTTTAAAGTTGGAATGTCAGATTTTAAATTGTAACTAAAGCTTGGGAGCATACCTTATTGTTCTAGCATTATTCAGACATAAAAACATTTATTTGAAATGTAGATATTTTTCTTTCTTCCTCGACTCTATTTGTTATGTATTTATTAATGTATTGTTTTATTTAATAATACAATATTATCTCTAAATGAAACAAAATTATGCAAGGAATACTGCATAAAGCTGTTCCAATGCAACATTTATATATTGAGGGACTCGATCTCTTCCCTTGCTCGGTCAAATCTGAACAAACTTTCTTTTTAATATTATTGTATTTTTGGGGAGAAATAATCTTCCTCTTCTTCTGTCTGCTCAGAGTGAGAGCTGAGTCAGCTAATGTCGTTACTAAACACCACAAAATAAAGTCGACTGGCCACCCCAGACCTCCTTACTGTGCCCACAATGCACTGCTTCTACCCAGAATCCCCTGCTGAGTGAGCAGTACAGCATTTTGCAAAATGACACCAAAGCTAATCGTATTAACCGAACAAAGAGGAGAGGACACGATCATGGGAGAGTGGAAGCTCAGACTTATTTCCCAGCATGCAACACAGAGTCAGCGTCCTGCACACCTTTCACATTTCACCTCTTAGCTTCAACTTATACTTTTTACTGGTGCAGTTCAAACTAACCGTCATTTTGTAATCAAATGATATTTTAAAACTTTGAATCCAAGTGTAAACTATAAAGGAACATAGGTTATTTGTTTTTATCAGAGGTGCAGTAAATACTCTGGGCTTGCAACATTATATACATGACACACAAAATAAAATATAAAAAGTTAAGAAATATACAAATATTCACAAATAGTATCATGTCAATGTATCAACAGTACATTTCCTGCAGGACACTGACTCTGAGATATAGTAATACTGATTGATGAGACAGAAACAAACAGAGAAGATTGCCTTCTTTGAGGCATTCAAATATGAAATACTGGTTATTCTGAAAGAGAGGAAGCTGCAGAAGAAGCTCGGAAACACTGACAGGAAGAAACGAGATGAGCCAATCAGAGAGAAGGAAACAATGACACTACGGATGAGATGATAGAGGATAAAACTCACACCTGGGTATCAGAAAATGAATGTGAAACCATTTTTCATTTAAATAATCTTTGCAGCCTGTCCATTGAATAATGAATAATAATGTACACATTTTTTAAGAAATGTGTTATAATGCGGAAGTTTGGACAAATCTTTCACCATTTCACAGATGAAACAGTCGTTTTAGATGAATCCATAATGAAAGAAGCTCCACCTTAACCACATACACTACATAATGTATGAGATATCGCATAATGATCTAATAATCTTATATTTTTATACTTTATATACTCAAACAACATTTTACCTAACATTTTGCAGGATATGTATGATATTTATACTTTCCTTGCATTAATGGACGCCCAGGTGTGTTAGTTTTATTAATACTGACTCTTACCCTCATGCCTTCAAATCTGGAGAGGGCTCTGAGGGGCCGCAGCGCGCGCAGCGTCCGCAGGGACTTGATGGCGGCAAAATCTGAGTAACCCAAAGTGTTGGCCACCATACTGACCAACGACACCTGCAGAAGAGAGATAGGGGGAATAAAGGTAGAGCGGATAGACACATAAAGACAGAGGGAAAAACAGGAGGAGGAGAAGACAGAAGCAGGACGGTTAACTTCTCCTCTAATAAAGACAGAGAGGAAGTCAGAGCTGTGGATTTGAGGAGAAAACGTGTGTTAGATTTAATATCAGCCAACTCCTGCGGGAAAGGGAATAAATAGAGTTAGTCTCCTTTTTAATAACAAATTGAGGTATGACCTGTGAAAAAAAGGGGGAAATTGAAGCTGTGTAGACAAAGAAATTGGACAAATGTGTTAATATTCCTCTTTGACGTCCAAATAAACCGAATTTATTCAAACTTTGTAAAAGAAAGGGATGATTACTTTGTTTTTCGGTGAGAAATTACACAAATTAAAAAGTATTTAGAACCACTGACATTTTAACCCTGTTTTGGATGTAAGGACAACCTGTTTTTCTTTGCAAAATAAGTGTTATTCATGCAGCATTATGTGATTGCATGAATGGAGTTGTGATTAAGGTGTTTTTCAGGAAATGTTTCAACATGATTGCATCAACTTTCTAAATATGTTAAATGTAAAGCTTTGAGTTGGAGAAACATTTCAACCCAGTCACCAGAAGACATTTTATTTTATTTAGGTGCTATTGAGGAAATGTTTCAAAATGATTGCACTAGAACCAAATCAAAACTAAGTTACAATTGTAAATATGAGACTGCAACAAAGCCCCAAAAACCTACATAAAATGAATCTGAAAATAGGTTTATTCTCCAGCAGCAGGTAAACTGGAAGTTTAGGTCAAAGTTGAGTCTCCAGCCTGCTCAGCCCGACCACTTGAGAGCTTGATTTTTCCGCCCGGGCAGCAGGAGGCGGGTGGAGCTTACCCTGATACCAGCGAGGCGGGACGCGGCCCGGAGAGGACGCAGGGCCCTGAGGGTCCTCAGCACCCGCATGGTGGAGAGGTGGTCCAAAGACAGAAACTGAGCCAGCAGACCCAACACTGAGATCTACAGTAACACATTTAAACAGTACCCACCACCAAAGCACAGAACATTTCATTTGTGTTTTAGCGTCCTGGACTTCCTTAAATATGACTATAAATTCTGTAAGACCTCCCTCACTCCACACAGACAGTGTTGAGTTTCAATGACACTGAGCAAGAAAACTGATTAGACATGATTGGAATGGATGAAAAACTGTTTTTGAGTGGGGAGTATGACATTTTGTTGATTGAAATTTATGCTGCGGAAATGTTGAATTTATCAAGATAATGAAAGAAAATGCAAATTATAACAGGAGCAGATTAGAAAAAACTAAAGCTTGTAATCAAACATATAATAAGATGTATAATTCTTCTAATTCTATCCTGTCATTTTTTTTAGTCTTCTCTTAAATAGTGTTTTCAAAAATTTCATTTTTTGGATATTATTTCTGAATACTTAAAGTTGTTTCAATACTAATGTCCTAATCCTGACTGCTTATCACCTTTATACATATTATTAACTTCCATTGGATTTGGTCATTTGTTATAAATACATTTATTTATTTGATAGGGATAATATGCTAATAAACATCAGTATAACATATAAGATATAAAAAGCTATCTGTATCGGTAATATGGTATTTTTCAAGGTAATGTATAAAAGAATAAATTCCTGTATTTAAAAAAAACTAGTCCAAACCTCATACAACAAAACATTATAAAAATCATCCAATTTTGAGTTTTTTGTTGTGAAGAATTTACAATTGTTCATTTAGTTTGAAATGTAGTGGCTTGGAAACTGTTGAATGCAGCTTTGAGTGAAATATATGCGTCTTTCAGTCTCTATTAAGATCACTCTGCTCTGTTTTTTGTCTCAGATATTCATATTTAAACCTCCGTGACTCAACTCATCTCTCTCTTCAGGCCACTGCAGTCAAATAAAAACGCCACAACATTTCTGAGGACGGCCAGGCGGAAAACAGACAGAAACCCAGAGAAAGACACAAAGCTTTCATACGCATGGTGTGTTTCTAAAGTGTGTGTGTGTGTCGCTCTACCAACACATAATCCGGCACAGAAAAGTGAAAGAGAGAGTGTGTCTGTGTGTGAGTCCAGATATACTTATCGCTGTGTGTGTGTATGTATGCGGAGGTTAAAAAGCCACGGTTGATTTTCTGCCCTGAAGCTGTTTCTCTCTTTCTTTGTCTGTCTATGTCTCTCGTTCATTTTATTTATAGAGATGCTTTATTTCAGTGAAGCAAGATTCAAGGCTTCAGGAAAAACGACTGTAACACACACTGCCCAAGTCAACACACTTGTCTCTTTGGGATTTTAACCTTTGCAGACCATTTACATGCACACAAACCCATATAACATACTACAGTAAAGGGAAAACCCCCAAAAGCATAACAGGGCAATTTAATCAAATGAATTACTGAAACTCAGGTAAACTGCAGTGAAGTAAAGTAAATGACCGTATATTAAAGTAGAATTGTTATTAAGTTTGCCATTACTTTCTTCACCATCCCTGTTGAATCATCACATTTTATTTTTCAAAGGACAGATCATTTAATGCATTGATAACTAGAAGATGGACTCACGTCTACGATGAGGAAGTCCAGCCAGCACCAGTAGTTGGTGAAGTATTTCTTGAAGCCGTAAGCGAGCCACTTGAGGAGCATCTCCAGAATAAAGATGTAGGTGAAGATCTTATCAGAGTACTCCAGCACCACCTTCACCACCTTCCTCTGCTCGATGTAGATGTCCTCAAAGGCCTAAACACAGCAGGGGTGTTACTTTTACATTTGGAATGCCGTCAAAGAGTCATTTCTTGCAAGGACGATTGTTAGATGAGGGAAATGACAGAAAGTATCAAGTGTCAACAATAATAAGAGCATGCATAACCCTTACAGTGAGTATAAAGTAAACTGAAGTAGTATAAAGAATACTAAAGTACTTTCTATAGGTAGTTTAAAATAAAGTACAGTGGTATATAGTAGACTTCAGTAGTACGGTATTAAGTTTATGATTAAATATGTCTGCATGTGTGTCTGTCTCTTTCGCTCTGTCTTGTGAGTTGTGTGTGTCTCTGTGTGCGTGTGTGTGTGTGTGTTTTTTCTTCACCAGGGCTCCGGAGCTCAGCAGGATCATGAAGATGATGAAGGATTCGAACCAGCTGTGCTCTACGATCTGAAAACACGTCTTCCTCAGCCTCCACCAGTTTTGCCCCGAGCCCCCACTTGTATCCACGTCACAGCACCTGAACCTGGACGTACAGACTGCACACACAGGCACACACACACACACACACACACACACACACACACACACACACACACACACACACACACACACACACACACACA